TGAAAGCAAGGATCAGAGTCTCTAGTGGACATTTTGTCGGTAGCTCAAAACCACAACTTAATTGGCAGCCTTTTCATAACTCTGACTGTGGCCTAGGACACATAGGGGATGCTGCAGGCGAAGGCTGAGGTACGTTTTCAGAATTGGTTGTAGGGAAATTTAGTGTTGACTTGCCTGTATGTCTTAAGTGATCACAGAAATGAGGGAGGTAGAAGTCAAGTTCCTCACTTTTATGTTTTTAATTTCTTGAGTGGTCTCTGATTATTCTTTCCACATGTTTTTACTTCATAGGTAACACGCATCACTATGTATGTGTGCTGGCACAGACCTTTTATTTTGTGTCCCCGTTGCTTTTTGTGGTCCTTTCAGTATGGCTTTGGAATCCATGTGATTTATACTAAATGTTGATTCCTGTATGTCTTTCCCACTTATGTCTTGGCCAACTGGTAGCTTGGATTCTGCCCCCAGAACGATACCAACCCTGTAAGGCTGTGTGGAGTGTGTTTTGTGTATGTCTAGGATGAAAGAACAGGGAGAACAGGAAAATTTACAACATTGTCAAAGGAGGTAAAAACATAAAATGTGATGTTTCAGGGTTCACCTGACTCTCCACCTGCAGAGGTATTCATAGAGGATGCATGACCATGGCTGAAGGCTTTCAAGAATTTTCTTACCCGAGTGTGTCATTAAGATAGTCTTTACCTGTATTAAAAAGCAGACCCAAAGTCAACTGCATTTCTCTTAAAATATATAGTATTTGAGATATTTTTTAAATAAAAAAATAGATTTTTAAATTAAAAAAATAGATTTTCAATCTCATTGGCAGGAAATTTGTATTCACTGTGCTATACTAACCTGTATCCATTGGCTGGTGCCTATAAATATCTGTTTGGGTCAGAGGCAGGTAGAAATTCCATGTAGTGTCTGGGAGCAAATGTGGGAAGGGAATTCCTTTCAGACTCACAGGGTTCATCATTTTTAGTGCTTGGAGCCACGTGGGTTGATTATGCACGTCATCTTGATTTTTTTCAAAACAGTGGTTGTGTTTGAAATACTATGTTTGACTCGGAAGGTAATATATTTGGTATTTAAGAAGCTGGCAGGAGAAAGCTCTGTCCCCATATGCATACACAGCAATGGGATTGGGATGTAGGCATGCATAACTGTTATTTTCCCCCGTCTGTCCTATCCCTAGAAAGCCATATGCCACCCTTAGACTAACGTAATGGGAGTCTGTATTAATGATTATGAGCTAGAAATAATCCAAGAAGAGTTGAGTGGCCTTTGTTTGTAGCTTTATGAGAAATACCTCGTTGACTCAGTAGGGTCTGAAATATGTTCTGGGATAGAAAGTCATAATTAATACAGAATTTAATGATGCCCTCACTTGAGGGTTGGTTGTTATTTTTTGGTTGTTTTTTTTTTTTCTGTGCTAAATTGGTCAGGGACTTGGAGATTCTTAAGTCTAACAGGCAGAGTAGGAATTTAAGCAAGGAGGTAAAAATTTAGAGGGAGTTGTTGATTCACCTGCTATCAGAAATAAGCATCTTGAGCATACATCTCTAGAGAAGCTCTGCTCTGCAAGAGTTCTAGAGACATTGAATGCCTTGTGTGTTGGCAGTGTACAAAATGAAAACTATGTGTATGCATGTATAGGAGTGGTGATGGGAAAAGGAGAATGTGGAAATGGGCTGAAGTATTAAAGCAAGCAATGAAAGCAGATGGTTTACTTTGGATTTTATAAAATAGCTTTCTCTTTATTTTGTTTTAAATGAAAACCATCAACTGTCTGCTTTGCAAAGCTATTTGTAGCAGTGCCGTAAGTATTAGGAGTGCAGTTGTCCCTGAATCATAAAAGGGCAAAGGGTTTTTCGGCTTCTTCCCATCTTCATGTTTATAGAATTGTGTATGCTCTGTATACATTAGAGTTGAGCAATTTCATCACAGCCTTTCCTCAAAATTGATTGCTGTACAGTCTCTTCCTGTTCCCTCTCTCTTGTCAGTTGGTTACATCTCAGACTCTCATTACATTTCATATTGATACTGCTTCACTTTTTCACTAAACTAGATGAGTTTAAGGGTCTGGAGTGGATACTGAAGGTCTAGATACATTCTTTAAATGCTTTAATTCCTATCATTATGGAAAAGTTTAGGGGTGGATTATTACTTTAAGAAGAAATGACTGTTTGCTCATTCAGTGATGAAGTCTGGTCATCAAGATGTTAGAATATGTGCTGCAGAGCTCTTCAGATACTGACATGAGTGCTAAAGTTGTTGCCAGCAGCTGTCTTGGGTTTTGGACACCTGCTGCCTCTCATTTCTTGCATCTCCCACTCTATCTTCCACTCCTGAAGTTGGCAGTGCCCCTAAAAATACTCTGTTTTGAGTTCTTAAGTAGATCTCCACCAAGCTGGTAGTCTGGATTCCTGAGTCACCGGTCCTGCTGCAGTGAAATGAGTTATATGACAGAGTTATTGACTGTGGAACATCCCCTGCCTGAATAATCAATGCTCAAATGTGAAATTTTTAGAAGCACAGATGCATTACTTGCGTAGTTCCCATATTCAGCCAGAGTCTTCTCCAGGTGGACTCTGTCATCTTTCCCCCCTGTATGAATACTTAGGGCAAGGGTTGCTGGTTTGGCCTGAGATCCTCTTTCAGTAACCTTTTGCCTCTGATACAGTTAAGAGGAATATCATATCTTGATTTGACTTTGACCTCAAGTGATTAAATCCTGTATTTATTCACCTTCCCGTGCTACCCAGTGAGTTACCTGGAAGAGAAAGGAACCTTTTTCAGCGGAAGAGTTCAAAAATATTGACCAAGGGTGCTAAAAGATGACTTATGTCCCTTGTAAAACTCACAAGCTGCCATCTGGGAGCTAGAAGTGAAGCTCACTTGGTCAGGAAGACAGGAAACCAGATACTGATAATTTCTTAAATAGATTGCTTAAACTTCAAAAATATTAGTGGAGAAGCTGTGTCTTTTGTTGTCAGTCAGAGCTGGTAATTCAGATCTGTAAAGAGATCTTGGCACATGCTTAGAAGGTAGCAAAACTTAAACCAGGAGCACTCTAGAGTTTTAATTTTGGTATTATTTTATTACTGTATTTTATTTAGCCTGTGTTTCTCTCCAAATGTAGTTATTTTTTTCCCAGCGCAGCAATGTGTCCTACTGCATCTACGCATTTTAATTTTCTTATTTCCATTCAGTGGAGTGTATCTGTCTATTCTTGGAGTAATAATTTTCCCCCCTCCTGAAAGCTGACAAAATTAAAACCTTTGGCAGTACCTGCAGGAGAGATGCCCTGTGGTTAGTAACACTGTTATATTTCTCTAAAACTCCAATTCTGCTGCTGTGCATTGTATCTTATGGGGCACCCGGTTCCTTCTCCTTGCTCTCTTCTCAGCAAGTATCCAGTATCACTTAGTACCTTGGGTTCATTTTGTCACACAAATGTTTGTCCACCAGGAATGTCAGTTCGTGGCTTGGGCACCCAGGCATGACAGATGTAGATCCACTAAAGAGTTAATGGTATGCATGACCTACCTGCTGAAATAATAACAGGCACCATAAAGAGTGCTATGTTCCTCCTGTCCATCCGCTGAGGATGGACAGCCTTGCAATTGCTAAAATGTACAAACAAAACTAAGTACATCTGCCCTGACTGTAAAAATCATCAGGAAGAAAAATATTATTCAAATCAGGCTTTTGTCAAGATTGTTCAGTGATTACCAGTGAACACCTGTTGTGTACTGGTTTGTTTGGCCGTGGACTTGATGCTGCTGTATCAAACCTGCAGAAAAAGGGAAATTGGCTTCCCCCAGCTGAACTGTAGATGTTGAGTTCCAGCCCTCTGAGCTGCTGCAAAGGCTGAGGATGGATGATACCCATAGCTGATGACACATCACCCCTCAGTTTCCTGAAGTAGTTGCTCTGTGCCGTTACAATGATGGCAGATCCCATAAACATATTACCCTCCACCATCTGCTCCCTCTGGCACTGAACTATGACCAAGAGGAAAGTTCCTCGTGCCCTGTCAACTCCCCTCAAATAAATAATCATAATAAAAAAGGCCAGCCTTTCTGAAGTTCCTGCTTAGCAAATGGGCTCTGATTGAAGGCAAGTCCTGAGAGACAGGGAAGGCTTGCAGCCCTTGACAGCAAATGAGAGCTGTACCTGCCTCATAAATGCCTTGGCTTCAGAAGGAGGTGGTTATGGGCATGAAATGTTTATCATCTTGTGCTTGCTTTGCTGCTGCTGGGATACTGTGAAAGTAAAAAGTAGTAATAATTGAGGAAGAGGCAGTACTGCAGCCTGCTTTTTCTGCTTGTTTCTACACTTAAGTAGTCTTGTGGACAAAGAAGGAGCAGGTGGAGGCAGCTTGGATTTGACAGAGGTTTGGACTGTGCACTAAAGATGTGTTCAGTTGCCTATGAAAGAGGATTTGATTGGAAATCTGATCAGGCAACTGGCTTTCCGTTAGGAAGCAGTCTTTGAAATTGTCCATGGAAGACGATGACTTGCTATATAGGTCAGCTTGTGCATTTAAAAATGCACTTACAAAAGGATGCTTGTTTTTTGCACATAATTGGAAGCAGCACAGTTGGTGACAACCTCCTTTTGAGTCTGCTGAGCATTGCCATGTTACATGTTGTGGATATCGACATCTCTGTCTTTGTGCAGCACCTTGTATGGCTCCTTGGAACTGGCTGTTTTCCAGCTGCCTTTGCTTAGCTCCCACCCACATGGGGATCCTGCAGTGGGCTGTGGGGACTTTGCAGTGGTCTTGGGGGTGCATGTGCTTTTGTTTTAACAGCCCAGTTCCCAACAGGGGACAGCACTGCATTGCATAAGATGCTTGTCATTTTTAAGGGACTTTTCTAAGCTTGTCATCCTAAAAGCTATATTGCACAGCAGCAGGCGGCCTCCATAAATCACTGATTTCTCTCTTTCTTCTCTTTCCCTTCCTTTCTCTTTTGCGCTCTCTTTATTCCAAGCCTGCGGATTTGGACGCCTGGGTAAGCTCTCTTTTTTTTTTTGTCTGGATCTTGCTTATTCCAAGTGTCATGTTGTTACTGCGTGCGTACAGATTGTTATTGCTGAGCACAGATGCAGGATTTTATTTTCTGTCATTACATTTTAAAAGGTGTTCAGCTAGAAAATTGCATATTATTTCCTCCATAAAGATTTTCACTGGCTCCTTTTGTGTAGCTTACAGCTGCTGAAACCAAACTTGATCTGGTGATGTGTGCTGTTGGCTAAGGGAGCAGCAGAAACAGGAGGAAATGAGGGTTACACCAGTACTGCTTTTTAAGCCACTGGGTTGCATCTGGTTTCTGAAACAAAACCCAGTCACCTGCCTTCAACAGAATGAGAGGTAGGACAAAAAGCCAGTGATTTTGTAGGCCTCGTGTGTCTGGAGTAACAACTGCAGACAGCTCCACAGTAATGGTGATATCTCTGCTGGTGCCAGTGGAGGTTGAGTCAAGGTTCCTCTATGGTTACTTGCCTGCTACAAGCCTCACTGTAAAGTTCTGCTTTAGTCTCAGGCACGAAGTGCACAAACTGCCTCTTACTATTTCAGTGTTGCCCTTTCAGCTCTGCCATTCCCTTTAGACTTGGTCAGGAACATGCCAGCTAGCTAATTTTGGAGTTAGCTCTGTTCCTTCTTCTCATCTTGAGATCTCTAATAGCATTTGTGTTTTTCTCCTGCCACCTGGGCTGCTACCAGGACTGGGAGAGACTTGGGAAAGCATGAGGTGTTAGAAGCTGCAGCTGTGAAGTGGGGCAAGGTGAGGTGCCCAGGCAAAACATCTCTGCTGTGCTGCTGCAGGGATGTTACTGGGTACCTTTGGGGGAAGCTGATAACTCCTCTCAGCAAAGGCAGGATGATGTAGAAACCAGGCATTTGATAGATTTAAGGACCTTTCCTTTATCCTTGTAGCTTATTTCTTTCCTTCTGACTGATTATCTAGGCATCCTCTCACTAGCTTGTCTGTGAGTGGTGGAAGCATTTTGCCAAGAAGATAAATATTTTTGCAGTAATCTCGCCAAATTCTATGACTTGCCTTTGAGGAAGTTCTTTATAGGTTGAGGTTTGGATCTTTCATTCTAGCTTGAGTTGCCCTTTTATAGAGAGAGGGTTGGGAGTTTTTGTCCTCCAGTAGAGTCTTCTCCATGCCCTCTTCCCAAATCCCAGAATCCCAACAGTGTTGTGGAGAGAGAGCCTGATGGTAGCAGTCAGCTGTGGGCTGTGCTATTGCTGCACTTTATTCCTGGGTGCCACATTCCCTACTGTCATCTGACCCTGCCAAGAAGCCCTCTTTTCCAACAGATTTCCTTCCTAGTTTTCATGTTTAACAAGGTGATGAGGCGGGACTGTGATTAAAAATAATAAAAATCTGGTGATATTTTGTGGAGGGCAAAGCCAAAGCTAATCTGGGAATGGCTGTAGCTAGAGTGAAGCTTAGCTCTAGAAGATCAGTTGCACAGTCTGATTTGTGGCGTGATGGTGTCAGTTCAGGACAAGGCTAAGAGTGTCTGGCTTTGTTCATAGAGAATGAACCAATATTATTTCATTACCTCAATTAGGAGGCTTGTAAAATATTTCTTTTGGCCTGTTTGTCAGCGAGCAGGCCAGTGCTTGAATTCTTCAGTTGAGCCAGTATGTAATGCATAGTTTTAGAAATGTGCTTGCACAGTTTATTTCTAAATTAGTTACTTGATAAAGGGAGAGAAGGAGGCAGAGAATTGCATGTGACTCTGCCCTGACTCTTTGTCTCTGTCCAAAGCAGCACTGAGATATAACCTGCATAACTTTGGGCTGTGGAAAAAGTGTAAAGATAAAGCAGAGGAAGAATCTGAAAGACCCCCCCAACCAGTCCATGGATCCATGCCCATGGAAGTTGTCGTAGCATGTTAGTAGTATGCCTTCACTGTCCTTTTGTAACAATGCTTTGTAAGAGTGCTTGTAACTCTGACATCATCACAGAGGATTTTTGAGCATTTCTTGAATATATCTTACACCTTACTTTTGTACAGAGAACAATGGCCAATTGCAAATACATCCCAGGGTACTTTTCTAAGTTTTGGGTGCATTCCTTTGTTTCATAGCTGAGTAGGTTCTTCTTTCCCTTCTCTCTGTTTTATTTCTATTTCTCTCTCTCTTTTTTATTTCCTATTTTATACTTCCTGGTCATCACACTCTGCTGTGTTGTACACACTTTAGATGTTGTCTCTGGGCTTTGTCAGCTCTTGCAAAATATGTTCAAGCTCCAATGGAGTTTCTGCAGTGTGGAAGTTGAAATGCAGCTTTCTGATATCTCCTGTTCAAACCAGTGTGTTATCATGCATGTCTTCCCTTTCCCTTCCTTCTTTAGTTCTAAAGACCTTTTTGTGAAAAGTGTATCTGATGCTTTGTTTGGCACCTGCAATCTCAATCCCCTGTGGAATTGTAATCATCTCCATAGCAGCCAGTTCTGTCTGGGACATCACAGGCTTCTGACTTCAGGTAGGGAATAAGCAGCAGGACTAGGGGAAATCTTAATAAATACCCTGTATTCATTCAGAATGTCCCTGGTTGCCTAACCCAGTTTGGAACAGTGAATATTTCAAATGACACATGCTCTGACTGTACCGTTCATACTTCAAACGCCATCATAAAGTGTACTAAAGTTTCTAGTAATAACAGCTGGGGCTAGAGGGAAACAAAAAGCAACTTTGAAGCAGATCTGTCATAAATGGAATATTGCTCAGTATACTTCAATATACTGAAACATCAGCAGCTCTTGAAAACAAGCAAGGCATTGAAAATATGTTTGTGTTGCAAGTACAAGTTTTCTCTGCAACCTCTGGTTCATCACACATTATGGGCGATAAGTGGAACATAATGGGGGATAATATGGGAGAAATTACTTTGGGGGAAGAATGGGCAGAATTCTAACAGTGTAGTCTGCAGCTGGGAGATCCGGATTTGGTTCTTTGGCATTGATTTTGCAAGACCCAAGGGAAATGACCAGCAGAATGTCTGTCTGCTGCAGCATGCACTGGTGTGGAGAAATTATTCACTGTGGGCATCCCAGCTCCAGTGAGGTCTGCTTGGGAGTCCATGGGTTGTCATCATGTAGATCAGCACCCTACTCAAGAGATTAGGTATTTGGTTGGTGTTCCCTTTCAGAGGTGTCCTATGGATAAATGTCCTGGATTTCTTGCTGAACAAGGTCAGGCAAGTTCATGGGTTGAAAACATGAGTGAGCATGTGGGTACACAATCCATGTCTTGCCAGAAACAGAATGAAGCTTCTTACCTGCCTGTATTGTTACAATATCAGTTTTGAGCTTGCAGAATAGTCTGCTATCCCAAGGTGACTAGCACTACCACATAATGAAGTTATTTAGATTAAAAGGAACCTTTCTTGAGTTTTTAAGAATTCATCATTTGACTCTTTTTCTTTCTTCCTTCCTTCACATGAAAAGCACCTTCTATCTGAATCATGCAGAGGGGTCAGTACTGTCTTATTCTTTTTTCTTTTCCTTATTTATTTTCTCCTTAAGAAAATAGAAGTCACTGGCTTAATAATCTGATTTTATGGGTGTTATGCAGAAAATCCACAGGCGAATCGGGGTCCTTTGGTCACCCACCAGACCACCCCACCTTCTTACATCTGTTTCATTTTATTTGAAGTTGCTTAGTCCTTTTCTGTGGAGAAGATGGGTATTGGTTGAGAGGGACAGCTATGGTTCCCTTACCAGAAAATGGTCATAATTTTGGCACTTACAAACTACCCATCACTGCCCCTATGATATCTCTTCTGTCAGGCTACGTGTATGGGGCACCTCATTCTTATCTCTCTCCCAATCCTATTCCAACTGGTTTGCAGGTGAGAAGTTATGTAGCAGCTGTGGTTAAAGCAAAGCTAGAGATTTTGCTTTTAATCAAGTGTCTTTGAGATCAAGAGGAAATAGATATGAATCTGTACTGCTTGTGTGTTACCCTGATCTGGGATGGCAAACATGGAACCCAAAATATTTATTTTTCTTTAAAAACATATAAAGAAACATACACCACCACTACACTACTACAATCCTCCTATTTCACATACTCCTTTTCTTGCTTACCTATCAACCACCCTCACTGCCTAGATTAAAATCTTTTCTAAACCCTATTATACCACTGTATTTCCATCAGCAGGGGAGCAGAAAGAAGAACATGCACAGTAACTTGCTTTCAGATGTAATTTTTCTCGTTAGCAATGGCTTTTGGCCATAAAATGACAGGCCTGAGCCCACAGGGATGTTTCTGTCCCAGCTGCTTAATCATATTGGACCAGCATTTTCTGTGGTTGTAGCATCATCATTAGAAGTTAATAGCAATGCTGCTGGGATGTTATGGATTGGCAGGGTTTGTGACCATGTTAAGCAGGCTATTCATTCTGTTTTTGAAAGGTCCTCTGCCTGATGATGACTTATGTGGCCCCAGAGATTTTGGGGTGTGATGGGCAGTGAAGAAAAAGTGCCATTCGTCTTGCTATTGCTGCTTGTTATTTTTAAACTTTAAAAGTTTGATTCAGTTCCATCGATGCCATATTTCCTTAATGTTAGTTCAGTTTTGGGGTGGGAATGCAATGAAGTGGTGCTGGCTGTAAAGAGCCAGTGGGCTACAGTTGTTGCTGTACCCACACAGACCTTTTTAGTTGAGTGCTGTTTAGTTGGCAACCAGGTTATTCTGCAGCAAGGGCTTATAAACCAGGTTTGCTGTTTTGGAAGTGTCACGCTCATACTTTGGAAGATGGAAGAGAATTTCTCTGACACCCATCTCCCCTCCGAGTCTGCAGCACCCAGCCAGAGGAATTCTGAGGGTGCTGATGGGGAATGCACAGAGGGTGTGTGGAGGGTGTACTTAATTACCAGGGTAGTCCTATACGTGTCTGCTGTGGGGAAGTATTAAATCTTTAGAAGCTTCCTGACACTCCACGAGGCAAGAGTTTATCAAGTGGAGGATTTGAGTTTATTTTTTTAAGGTAAGGTGAACACTGAAGTAATGACTGTCATGACTCATGGAAAAACAAAGACATGGATAAGATGGAGTTCTGAAAAAGGCAATGGGGAAGGTGCCGCCTTGTTGTGATCATATGTTTCCAATTAATAAGAAGCAGTAAAATCAAGGTTATGATCTTGAGTGTGATACTAATAAGAGCATTTCAAACTTCTGGGGATAACCCAGAATGAGCTTTCCTTGCACTTACATTGTTTATTTTTAATTTCTTCTTCTACTGATGCTGTTTCGCTGTTCTTGCCAGGCTGTGGAGCTGCAAGGCAGGGAGGCAGAGTTGAAGCGACAAGAGGCCTTCTATAAGGAGCAGTTGGCCCGCATTGAGAGGAAGGTAAGGTTAAATTGCCTTTATTTGTGCCCTCTGCACACTGATGGGGTCGGACATGGAGCTGTGTGGATCCAAAGAGCAGAGAACCAAGAAGGGTTGTGCTGAAACCTGGAACTCTCAGCTCCCCAGGGTCTTATCTGCCCCCCACCCCTTACGTATGTGATGGAAAAGCTGTATGGATATTTTGAGCAGCTTGCATTTGAAAGATAAAGGTTTTTTTAACTCGATGTTTTTAAAAAAGATTTCTAGTAGTTCAGACTCTATTTTCTTTTTCACCATGGGGTTTAGGTGAAAGCTAAATTGAAGCAAAACAAGTGCCCTGTTTTTTATTCCTTTTGTTTAAAATCCTTTCCTAAATTAAAAAAAACAAACAACATAACACTACAACATAAATCTTGCTATAAATACGAATTAAAGTTGTAATATTAATTTTTCTCTGGGGAGCCCCACAGTTCAAAGAATGGTGCTGTTGCAGTGCACTGCCTGCTTCTTGCTGGATAAGCCTTTGAAATGAACGTGATTTGAAGAGACACCGTCAAGCATCTTTTAAGCCTGAAATGACCTTTGAAAATCCATTTAGGGATTTGAATCTCTCCCCTAAACGTGGGATTTGCTTCTCTGTTTAATTGTTTACCATGATGAGTTTTTAAAAATTGATGCCATAAAAATAGGAGCAGCCATGCTGTTCCTTATGAACTAATGTGTTCTTCACTTCCTGGCAAAATGAAATAATGTTATAAGTAGTCTTTATTTTTTAATAAATGTGGAGAATAATCTTCTCCAATTTAAAGCAATTAGACCTCCTGACAGGGAGTTGCATACATTCGACTTGTAGTTGTGTTATGTGACTAAAAAGAAATGCAAACAATTCTGAAAAAGGGGGGTTGTGAAAAGATAGAGAAATCAATCAGCTTTACTACCAACATGGAGCATGATGGTGAGTATGGAACATGGGAAAATTGCAGATTGTAGAGATGGTAGGAAACTGTTGGCATATCTATTCCTGTTCTCATTCCCTGTTACTGCATGATTGTCCATGCAGCGCTTTTTTTAAGCCATCAATGGTAAAACATGCCCAGGAGCAATTTCATATGATACAGTTTAGCAACACTTTTAATCCATACAGTTCATTAAAAATAAACTATTAAAACTACCACTCAGTGTTGCATTCGGATTTTAAATTCTATTTCTAGATAATGGGGATTGTTCAGTGAAATTGCAAACAATCTAGCAGCTATCGTTCTAATTATCACAGTTGTCCATATGTTCATATGCAAAGGGGATTTTTGCAATTTCTTGGTCCCATGCTGTGTGCTGCTATTATATTCTTCTCTCCGGATCTGGTTTCGCAAAGCGGAAATTGCAGGGAAAACCTGTATGTACCTGCCCTTTATGGACAGTGGAGTGGGGAGTAGTTTGTGTCTGGGCTTCATTGTCCCCTTTTCGAAGTCTTTTGTTGTAGTTTGTGTTTTCAAGTCCACGTCCCTTGCTACAGGAACACCCTTTTGAACAATGAGAGGGATATTCTAGTGCAGTATCTTCTCAGGGGGAGTAAGATGGCTTGCCCGCAGTCCTATTCAAACTGCAGAGCTGCAGAGAAACTGTCTTCTAGTTGTTATGTGTACAAAAGCAAGCTGATGAAAAGAACAGGTTTTCTTTCCTCTCTTGAAACATTAGATAGTTTCTGACCCTTAAACACTAGTGTTTTGCTGGTAATGAAACAGAAGAATGCCTCCAACCGTTAGGCTGGATGGGAGTGGGAGGTGGTGGGGGCTAGAAGGGAGAGGAGAGAAATGTACTTGAAACAGTGTAATAAAGCTTAATTGTATTAGTTTTGAAAAAGGTTTTTGATCTTCTCTGTGGATAATTTTATTCCTATAATGGCTAGAAAGATGGAAAATGCAGTGCAGAACAATCTTTTTTATTAGCTGTTGCTTTTATATAATTCTGCTTTTATTTGTTGAATACACGCAGACCTTGACATTTATTTATTTATTTTTCCTTCCACTGTGCTAAAGCTTTCCAGCTCAGGATTAGATATATTTTTATATATCCGTGTGTGTGTGTGTCTATATTAGAAAAAAGCTATCAATAAGGGGATGAGGTGGGGAAGAGCTCTGAAACAGAAGTTTACTTTCTCTGCTGTTTTAAGAGGGGATAGTCCCTTGGACTGTGGTCACTGGTAGTTTGGAGGTATTGGCTGTGGGTGAATAGATGTGATGGCTCAGTGTGGAGTTGGCAAGCTGAAATTTCTCCTTCTGAGGATCCGGCTGTCAGGAATTCCCCTCTCTCATCCCCTGCTGTGTCCATGTTGGCTTTGTCCCCACTCCTGCTTGATAACAAAATTCAGCAGTAAAAGACTTAGAGATTTGTTTTTGAAGAATGTTTTGAACTATTGATGTTAAAAACCAAGTACCTTCCCAGCAGGATTCTAAGAGCAATTGTGTTACACACTCCTTACAGCATAAGAGCTGCTGCGGTGAATCAAACACGGAGACTGTCCTGTTTCTTCTGACAGTGGTCAGTTTGCAAAGGCTTTGAAGGAAGAAGCAAAAAAAACCCTCACCAAAATAAAACCACAAAGAAAACTTTTGGGAGAGTAGCTTTGACAACAGTCTTCCTAACTGTTGTCAGTTGGAGGCTGACACATGCCCTGCTCAAGAGTTTTATTTTCATTCAGTATTTTTATTCTCTGGAACTTGGATTAGTGCCATCCATTCTTCTGTGCTACTCAGGCATTGTTCCTGAAGCCCTGTTCAGCTCTGTGCCTCCAACATCATGTGGCAGTGTGGGCCACAGGTTAACTTATATACTTCGTAAATTCTCTGTTACCAGTTGCAAATACTTTTTTTCTCATTTAATATCCTTTATTTGAAAGAGATAAAAGGAATTCTCCTAATTATTCACTATCTGTAGACTTCTCTTCCCCCTTTTTTACCTTCCCGTTGGGCTGAGCAGTCCTTACCTTTTCAGCCTCTGCTCCTGTGAATGATTTTTTTCTAGGTTTCTCATTCTGCTTGTTGTCTTTTGGCACTTTCCCCCTTGCAGCTCTGTCTTTGAGATGTATTGACCAGAACTGAACTCAGTAGTTCCCTTGAATGCAGCAGATTGTGTGAATACATTATCCTTTTATTTTGTAATCTCTGAAAGAGTACTGTAATCTACTGGACAGAGCACAGAATTGGAAGGAAAAACCTGCTCATTTTCTAATAGCCATTTCTCTTTTGGGAGTTTGAAACAATTATTTAGTTCATCTATCTCAGTTATTCCATCTATATGATGGAATAGCTTATAATGGGAGGGCAAAGTGTTGTGAAACAGTAAAGCTATAAAAATGCTAAAAAGGCTTTGCCTTTAGTTTTGCATGAGATGAACTATGGGTCTACCTTATTTCAAATAGATCTTGAGAAACTCAGTTTCTCCAGACAGTCTTATTAAAATTTTCAGAGGAAAAAGCATGTATGAAAAAATAATTTCAGTGTTTCAGCTTTTGGGATTTTCCCTACATCCTCTATTAAAGCACTGGAAAAAGTGAGGCAGTGAGTGCTGTCATGCTAAAGATCCATCGAGTTCAATATGCTGGTCCTGACTGTGCCCAAATGTGAATGTCCAAGGACAACTGTAAGATCACTGGATTGCCCAGAGAGGGTGTGGAGTCTCCCTAACTGGAGATATTCCAGAGTAGTCTGGATGCAATCCTGTGCAATATGCTCTGGGATGATCCTGCTCGAGCAGGGAGGTGGGACCAGATATCTACTGTGGTCCTTTCCAACCTGATTCTTTCTGTGATTCTGTGATCAGGGCAAGGTTACGGGGTACTTGCCCCACATACTTTGATCATCCTGACTGGTCATCTTTGGAACTTTGCCACACCTATTTAATCCCCTCTGAGAGCTGTGAACCGGGACTGTGTGCGCAGTGCCTCAGGGTGTGGGTGGTCCGTGAGCGTGTATGGCAGTTGTGTCAGAAACATTGTTTGGTTCTCTGTTTCTTTGTAGTGCCTGACACTTGATTTGCACTTCTGACTTGTGTTGAGCAAATGCCATGCGCTGCTGCTACTGGCAGCGTTCAGCTGTTTTGAGTACAGACTTGAATGCATGAAATAGCTGTACTGGGATGAAACCAATGCTGGGATTAGCTGTTGGGAGAATTCTTCCCACTGCACCCTTCAATTTGTTGGGAATTGAGTGGAGGAAGGGATGGTAGGCTTTGTTCTGCCTGCAGTGCAGTGCATGCTTTTGGACTTGTTTAAAAATCAAATTTTATTGAACAAATTCCTTGCAGAGGATCATTACGCTGGTAATGCCCCTGGTCTTCCTCGCTTTAACTCTGATAGCTTGTTGTGGTTGTGTGTTTCAGTCCCTTGGGTGGCTTGTGTGTTTCTGTTTTGGAGTGCCTGAAATATTTTGGTAATCAGAAAAATTAGAGGGAATAGCTCCTTTGAACTGCCTGCTTCTTATGTGACTGTGTGTAATTGCAGGGTTTGGAGCTGGTGATACACATTCCATTCCACACCTGTGTTTCCAATGTGACTGTCTAATCTCCAATAAGTAATCCAGTAATGAGACCCGGGTAATTTGTTGTAAGTGGTTAAACTTCTAACTCTGGCATCTTACAGTAATTTTACATCTCATCCATGTAATTTGAATTGTTTCACAAAATGTGGGTCTTCTCTCAACTGCTTTCAAGGAAGATTTGTACTGTAGTGTTTGTCTGGGTAGAAAGGATAAGAGTTAGACCTAATAATCTGTAAGGAAAACCTTAGAAACACTCGATTTGAGAAGATTAAGCTGATGTTCTTTCATGCATTTATTTGTTACCAAGAAGCAGGGAGGGAGATGGAGGGAGCTTGTAAATAGTTAATACATGTACTGCTCAGAACTGGGATTTTTATTAAGGATTCTGTGTATGCTTTGTCCTGCTTTCTCCAAGTGGTAGAAACATCCTTTGAAAAGTATGATAAGAGAGAAATGCACTCTCTCCTGGAACCCTTCAGATGCCAG